AGGAAACTCATGTCAAAATGCCTCAATGCGATTGGCAATGACGTCGAGCTGCACAGAAGATCATGCCTTGAATCGGTCGGCAAATGTAACCAGTTGACTGGGAATGAGGCCTCAATGCGATCGGCACATGTCGTCCAGTTAACTGAGAATTATGCCTCGAATGATAGGCAAATGTCGTTGAGGGAATCCGTTGTGATTCCACAAGCCTGAATGGTGGCCGAGGGCCGCACGATGCCCAGAGATTTCGTATGTTGCACGCACTCTTGTTCTTACTAACTCCTCTCACGAACTCTTCTTACTAACTCGACTTGATGACTGCTCGAATGCTCCTTCGGAACTAACCGTCCAACCCTCAAACAGACTGTAGTGGGACAGCGGAGTTGGAAAATACACCCTGATTGGTGATTTTTAAGCGTTGAGGCCCAATCAGTCCGCTCCCTGAGATAACCGTTCTCTCTTTTCCCTTTGTAAAGTCTTGGCCTGAAGAGGGGTGGAGAACCGTTAGAAAATGTATACAGATCTCCAACGCTTGACGAGACAATGGGCCTTGTCCTTCGCATGGGCTGGCAATCGGTTCTTGGAAATGCGATGAAGTGCCTTTTGCTTCGAGGCAACTCAGTTTCCTTTTCCTGTATGACTGGAAAATGCTATTTGGTGACGAGTTAATGCCTTTTAATGCTAACCGGTCATAAACTCTGTTTTTTCCGTTGAACGGACGGAACAACCATTAACATCTCGTTCAATGAAATGCCTTTATCCGTTTTCGCGGATGCGTCGAAAACTACGCGAACTTTAGTGGTGCTACTGGATACTTTGATTACGGCGTGATGAGGCATGTAGTAGCCGTCCCTATTTTCATTCGTCGCGAGAGACATGTGTCCCAGATCAATGTATTCCTGCATGTTCTTATGATACTGTATCTTGAGATCGGGATTTGAATCTAGTTTACCCTGCAAGAAACGAAAACGCCTTAACCCTGGTGCGCGAGAATCGCCAAGATTAAACTCATTGGATCGAAAAGGTAAACGAACGACGTATCTACCATTCGCGTGGCGTATTGATGTTTTTGCGAAATGATTTTCGCACGACAATTCCTCCGCGGGCTTCGATGACTTAGAAGTCGCGTCCTCGATCACCCAGAATCTGGCCAACTGTTCGGATAAACTGCTCAGATTACACGATATTACGGAATTTTGTTCTTCGTTGCCTATACCTCCGACGATTACCCATCCGAGCTGTGTCTTTTGTAAGATTAACTCGCATTTTTTAACCGGCAGCTTGATCTGACCGATTGAAAGCATCGATATAGTAGCTCCGGAGCCAATTAAAAAGTCGACTGGTCGCGAAATGTGGAATTGCGGATCAGCTAATTTTATGTTATTCGGGATTTTTACGATTTCGCGCGGAAAGTTTTCCTCCGGAACGCAATCGGCTGTCTTCGGGAGAGTGAAGAAAGTCAGAACCTTCGCGAAATCGTTGTGTAAAGAGCGGAAATGAACTTCGACGCTGCTCTTCGACACGGTTTGCATTTCGTTTACAGCGCTAATCGGAATCGCACAACCGCGCATAGGAAGTCCTAACTTTTTCGCTAGTTCGTTTGTAATGAAATGCGCCGTTGCGCAGGTATCGAGTAATGCACGGGCTTGTACGAAGCGTCCATTCACCTCACATACGCGTACGACGGCACTCATCATCAACTGAGGTCGAGATGCACGCGAAACGGAGGCAAAAGTATCTACCGATAGTCATTTTTCAATTGTTTCTACCTTGGGTTAGCTCGAAACCGATGGCTGATTCTTAATGTTACGCGTCGATGTCAGGTTTATCGGAGCGTCCCAATGTAGGAGCGTATGGTGAGGGCGACTGCATTTTTTGCAGTACGATGAGTGGCATTTTCCGGAATGCGCACGAAGACAATTACGGCAAAGTCCCTTGGAACGTACGACTTCCCATCGTTGCTTATTATTTAACTTTTCGAAATTGGGACATATACTAATATAGTGCTTTCCGCGACAATGCATGCAGCCGGAAGAAACGGTAGCCGTGATAAGCGTTTTAACACCCGCATTGGATCTTCGCGTCTTTTCTCCCTGTGTTTCTCGTTCGGCGCGACGTTTTCCGTACGTTTTCTCCTTATTTCGATCTGAATCGCGGCTTAAGGTGGAAAGTCTGAACGCTGTTTCGCTAATGAATTTACAGAATTGATCCAAATTCGGTAGATCATCCAGTCCGAGAGTTTCTTCCCACTTTTCGCGCACGTCGATGGGAAGTGCTCTTTCAAGTAAGCGTATTATTAACCCTTCGTCGGGTTTTACTTGCAACGCATGAAGCATATTCAAATGTTGTCACACATCGTCTATGATTCCCGATAGTCCCTCCGGGGTCGCGGTAGTTAATCGACGTATATCAAGGATAGCATCGTAATGCTTATCAACGAGAATACGCTTTTTCTCATACGAATCCGTGAGCAAATTCCATGCATTTCTATAGTTTTCCGCGCTTGCGTCGTAACGAGCGAGTTTATTTAACGCCGGTCCGGTTAATGAATTTGTTAAGTATAGAAATTTACTCTGATCGCTGATATCTGTCCGAGTATCGACCATCGAAATGAACGTATTTTTAAACGTGAGCCAAGAGTTATAATCTCCGTTAAACTTTGGCAATTCCGCAACCGGTAGTTGGAGCTGTCGTTGTCTTTCAATAAACGTAGAAGAACCGAGAGGTAAATCCACGGCCGCGTCGCTGTTGCGAGATCATTAATTTCGCATTAAAATTATCTATTTTGCCTTGTTCGACGGCATTGCGCAATGAAGTGACCTGCGCTTTGAGCGATGTACGCTTCTGGGCTATAAATGCAACACGACCCGACATATTGTCCCGTCGTATCAGGAAATTACGCGAATCAATGATTTACAACACCCGCGGGGAATTCGCGCAACGATTGTACAAATAAGAGAAACTTATCTGTATCCGTCGGAAGCGTGTAGATCACAGGCGGCAAACAGTCGGTGGGTGGCAACCAGGAGGGAGGCGTCCTTAGCGGAAGCGTAGTATTCTGAATGTTGATCGACTTCAAGAATCTTGGCTTTCCTGCTGTTGTCTTCTCACAAGTATCGTTGGTTATGGCACTAGTTGCACCGAATATCCAAGCTGTCTCCAAGAGATCAGAATGAATTCTGTCTCCTCGTCGCCGAGAAGTCGGAGCCCAGGAAAGAAAAAATGCTCTCCTGCGCAAGCGTTCCCCTTTTTTCCGCTTTTCCTCCAATAGGTTGGGCCCTAAGACCCCTCCGATAAAGCGGGAAAAGTAGGGATAAGAGAGAAAACTTTCTCTTCCGGCTAGAGCCGCATGTGGCTCTTCCACCCCCTTTTTTTGTGTCCCATGACCGTTGGCGAGTCTTGCCTTCTTGGAAAAGGAAGGAAATTGCGAGTTTCCCTAACATGTGCAAGACATTCGGCTTCAAGGACAAAATGCCCAGAGGGGAACAATGCAAGAGGCTAGCCTTGCTGTTTTACGGTGTCGTAAATCAGCTTAAAAAATCTTAACGAAGATTATTTTTTATGTTTGAAAAGCAGGCCCGAACCTGAACTGTTTGAATTCATTGTCTCCGAGCGATTCAGACCTCACAGGAGGCACCAAATTTTACGTCGCAAATAAGC